CTTTCCTCAGTGGAGGGGCTCTTGGACGGCTGGAATCTTCTAGGGCTCCAATCCTCGCGTTTTGATATAGGATTAGGAGATTGGTTTTGTTGAGAGCCTCGAGGAAGGCTGCCATGGTTGGGTCGGCGCTAGACACTGGAACTGGCAGGTGCTTCTGAATGGGCTGGACCTCATTGTGATCAGTGAGAACGGGGGAAGGAGATGCGGTGGCTTCATCCCTTTATTGGTGGGTGTCGCCCCCAAGAAAGGTGGTTGCTCCGTTAGTATAAGTCTTGCTGGCGGGGAGGAAGGCAGAGTTATGAGCATCATGGGTGTTGTCACGACTGGCCATGGTCGGCGTTTAGAATAACTGTTTTAATCTCGAATCTACGATGGAAGAAAGACAGGGATAACAGAGTTCCCCATAGTCGACGCCACTGATCTTGAAGGCTGATCAGAACCTGAAGTGGGCCAGAAACAATGTTTGTGATGTTGAGTGTGAGAGAAGAGGAGGGGGTGTACATGCAAGGAACTCCGATGCTAAAGTAAGAATCGAGAGAAAAGAGGACAAGTACAGAATATGTGTGTATTAGAATGAATATTGAATACCTGACCTTCTTAAATGTGAGGGTTTTTATAGTGCCCCCAGCGCTTGGCCATTGGTCCTTATTTTCGAGGCTAGATAAATGTTCTCTAAAGAATAGGTAACTGCCAGAAACTAGACGTTAGGACGAGTAAGGTGCCCAAAACTAATTGTTGCTACGGGCATGGGCGCAGTAACGGGCACAAGTGTCATGACTGCTTCTGGATGGTGGAACCGTGTGTGATGGGCAAGAACTACCAGGGATAAGTATCTGACCCTGGGGTAAATCGGCCAACCTTCCCCGGTGGAGGGGTGGAAAGGTAAATCCTCCCCCATATTGGTTGGACTTAGGAAATTTGACCGTTCTCGGAGTAGAAGTGGATTGGGTCATGCCTAGCCATTGGGGCAGTCCCAAACAGTAATCATAATAATAATGATAATAAGGATAATTAATTGATATCTATTAACTTGAAATTAATTATTTTAAGTACTAATTTTATACTTTAGTTTGTGAAAATTAGAGATGTTAAAATATCAAATACAATTGATTTTATCATTTGAGGTATTGAAAATTAGGATATTCCAAAATGCAGAGAAAATAAACACAGGAAAGAGACTCGAAAAAATGCGAGAAATTAAGACAAAGAGATGAAAAAGTGGACTCACTACAAACAACAAAAGGATGGAAACACAACAACCCAAGAAAACCACAACAACACCTGCTCAGGGGAACACACAAAAAGTGCAAGGAGATAAAAGCAGAGCCTCGGGGACGAGAATAGGGGAACGTAAGATTGAAAGAATCAATCCAGATTTTGATTACTTTCTTGGAGCGTCATGGGTGGATGAAGCTAAAACTTTTGTTCGTAAATTCCTTAGTCCTAAAAATATAACTTTGGGATGAATAAATTTGGATTTTATACTAAAGAACAAGAAGGTTAATTTTTACACTTCTTATTGTTGGATCATGAGGAGAAGCATCAACATTGGACTAAGAGCAACTCACAAGTGAGAGAGACACCACATATTCATCCAAAATCTTAAGGTGATAGATGTGTGGATTCTCTCACTTATAAATGCTTAAGTATCCACATTTATAACAAATGTGAGACTCTAACTCACACTTGACTTATTATTCTCAACACTCTCACTCAAGTGTAAGTCCACAATGCTTCCCACGAGTGAAAATTCTTTTGTCACATACATTTGTATCGCCGTTGACACCTCTTCCTGTGCATTTCGATACACTTCTTTCTGGGCATTTCAATTTCAATGAGACACCTCTTCTTGAAAATTTCGATACAAGTCGACCCCTTTATTTGAACCAAAGGCTTATGATACCACTTATTGGGTCATTAAGATGAGCATCAACATTAGGTTAAGAGAAACACTGTAACGCCCCAAATTTAATTGGAATATTTATTTAATTTATTTAAATAAAAATATTCGCATTTCGGTGATTTTTGGTGGTTTTGTGGATTTATTGAAAATTATGCATTTTTGGGTTATTTATTTAATTAATAGTATATAATATGAATATATTAGTATTATTATTAATTAAAATAAATATAAGATGAATAAGGGCAATTGGGACAATTCAGAGGAGTTAGTGAGGGTATTATGGAGAAAACCCAATTGTGAGGCCTAAGACTAGGTTTAACAAAAAGGAAATTGGAAAGGGATTAGGATTCATTTGTTAGACCGTGAAAAGTATTGAGGCCAGAGCTCTGAGGAGAGGATTGGAGGAAGAAGCTTCGAGAGATTCCCTGAAAGATTTGTGAAGGCTTTGAATCGACGATTAAGGTATGGGGAGTATTACCTTCATGATTTTCCATGTGTAACTTTCAATGTATTTAAGGTCGATTTAAGGTTTAAGGGATTTTGAGGGTGGATATGAGAAATAGTGATCTTTGTCCTTCATGGCCTAAATTTGTTATTGTGAATCTAACTGTGGAATTCATTGGGGAAAAAGGAAAGTTAGGCCTTTGTGGCCAAAAACCATGAATTGTTATTTGTCTAACCTTGAAGGGATAAGAATATTATATATTGAGTAATTCTTATGAGTATGGGTAATTATAGGGAAATTTGTAATTTAGGGCGTGAATATGATGTGGGATTGGCCTAATGAACCGTAGATTTTGTGCCTTTATCGCCGTAAGACCTTAGGGATGATTTAGGGATGTTTTAGGGGCATTGGGGAAGTGAATCGTGTGGACATTTGGGTGGATTTAGGTTCTGGTGCGTAGCAGAATTTGTTGTTATTGCACTGTTCGCCTAGCGAACCATGTTGTTCCCAGACTCGCCTAGCGAAGAATCCTTCGCACAGCGAAGAAACTCGCCCCAGACTCGCCTAGCGAACATGCCTGCGAACGTAGCAGAGTTTCGCGATTGATCATGTGCGACGATGCTTTGATGTTTGATTCTGTGATTTCTTTGACGAATTAACATGAGTAGGACTATGAAGTTTATGTGATTAACAGGCGATAATATGAGGATTACCGCAAGTATATTTATGAATTAATATGTGATAATATGTGATAATATGATGAATTAATATGAGTATGACTGCGAGCGTTATGTGATTTGTACATGATTATATGATGATGACATGATGTATGATGATGATTATTATGATGAGCTATGATGACATGATGTATGATGAATAATGATGCACCTATGATGTTATTATGAGGATGATTTGTAACGTGTGCATCATGCATTCATGTGCATCCGGAGTTCGGTTCAGGACCTCGATTACTTTGGCTTCAATTCCATTGTGTGGATGTGAAGTGTTTTGATGTGCTCTGCTTCTCAAGTAGAATCGATCCTATTGATGGGGATCTATGGAGGGTTGATGGCCCAGTGTCCATCGCGCTGTGATGTGGTACCACATGCATTGAGTCTTGTTGCATTTGCATTTATGAGTCATTTGGAATAATTTATGATGTTGTGGCCTTTGAGGCCTATTGAAGGATATCAATGTGTTGAATATGAATATGACGCCGTTTTATATGTTGATTTTTCTACATTGATTATTATGAATCGTTTTACTCACTCTGCCTGTTTGAATGTTACCTCCACATGGGTAACATGCAGATGACCAGGTTTAGCCGTGGACGCCGTTGAGAACTTTTGAAGTTCCGAGTTGTTAGCCTTTTGGTTAACTTATAGGGTCTTGCTCTAATAGTGTAACATCGGGTTGGGGTCTATGTTTTAATTGAGTTATTTTGATTATCTTTCCATATAAGAAAAACCTTGGATTATACTTTTTGAGTTCTGCTGCCTTTGAGCAATTTTTGATATATTTTGGGAAAACCCGTTATACACGGAGCATTGAGTTGTTTTGAGTTATTGAGAAATGTACGCCCTTTTATGGTGGCTTTTATTGAATTTAATAATTTACTTTGATAGATGTGAATAAATGTGCCTTTAAATTTTAGGGTAGAAAAAGGTGTTACAAACACACAAGTGAGAGAGACATCACATCACATCTCTCTCTCTCTCTCTCTATATATATATATATATATATATATATATATATAGATATATATATATATATATTTATAATCAATATGAGACTTCAACTCACATTTAATTTATTATTCTCAATACTTATTTGTTTTAGTATGCGTCTCCCTCTCAACATGTGCAGATTGCATTTTGAAGAATAATTAATTAAAAAAAATAAACAATTAAATTTTTTTTAAGTTCATCATAAAAACTAATTAAATATATATTTAACAAATAAAATTATTATTTAAGTAGAAATGTTGATGAAATTGTATAAACTTCCCTCTAAATTAAGAGTGCATCTAAAGATTATTCTCTCAAGTAATAAATGGAGCTCAAATATTTATATCCTAAAATTTGCTAATTGTTATAAAAAAAATTGTTTGATTCTTTTGTTAATTTGTATCTGATTTATCGTCAAATTCATCTCTAAATTACTATTGTTAAATTAATATTTACTATAAATTAACTTCACTCAAAATCAGATTTTTTTTGTCCATTCATGAATTCTATAAATGTGAAAACTCATCCCCTATAACTTTAGGGGACCAATAAGTGATTTACTCATTATTAAAGTAGAGATAAGCAATTCTAATTCTAGAATTTAGAGTGTGATTAAAGATTACAATCTAAAAAATGTTTACATGCATAACTAACTCAATAATTAAACCACTATATATTCCTTTTGAAAGGTCTTCAAAGCCATCAAGTTATACCAAATAAATGAATACTACAGAAAGTTGATAAGCACCACTCACCAACAACTTTATCTTTTTGCTTTGTCCAAGTCCATTTCTACTACTTCTAGATTCAAACAAACACAACCAAAACATCAAGTGGCTCTTTTAATATTTCAACCTTTTACCTACTTCACATTCCATTTATCTAACTACATAGTGACAATCACACACTGATTCCTGTGTTGAAAATGTGTCCTCTCAGACTCATTCTCATATTCTTGTCTGCTACTCTTGCTGGCTTTTTCGTCCTCAGAAACCTTAGATCTCAACCTCAACCTCAACCTCATCTCACTGAGTTTGAAAATGAAGATGAAGCTATGGCAGAAACAGAAACCTCGGATTCTGCTAAACCAATCTTAAATGCACCTTCTAACTCCAAGGTTTGTTTGTTCTCCCTCTATTCAGCCCTTTTACTGATTCAGATTTTTGTTCATAAAAATGTTGTCTTTTTGTTACATCATGGTTTGGTTTATTGGTGACAATAGGTTAAGGTTGCATTGGAATCTGGGTTTTGGACATTTGTTGACATGGCTTCTGGTCGTTATCTTTGGAGGCAGCTGGTTCAATCCTCTTCAAAGGAATAATTCATCAACATGTTGTTCTATATCATAAATATATGAATGTTGCATCTCATAATTGTAATAATACTATTTGATGTGTAAACTTTAGATATGGAACATTATAGTTTAGAGATAGAGTTTGCTTTTGTCCCTTTTGCTATCATTTTCTTATTGTTTTTCATCTAAAGTTGTATATGCTACATCCCACATGTTATATTGAGATAGATTTTTGGGAAATAAATTAGATTTCACTTACTAAATGTAAGTGAAAGTAAAATTACTAAATGTAAGTGAAAGTAAAATTAGTGGCTGGTTAATTTATTAGTACAACATTGCAATCACGTCTAAAAGAATATTACTCTACTGCCTTTTAAACAAATAAATTTTGTTTTAAAATAACGGTAAAATAACATTTTTCGTCCTTTAATTTTAGGTTGGAGTTCAATTTGATCCTTTAACTTTAAAAATGACAAGTTATTCCTCTAACTTTTAAAATGGTGTCACGTTTATCCTTCCGTCTGTTGTCGTTAGTCAAAGTTTGAAAGCAGGTGTCACGTATGTCTAGGTGGACTTTATATTGTTGACGTGGATATAAGATGTGTTAAAACAAATTCAAGTTAAACTTGCTTTCCATTACCCAAAATATCAAAGGATTAAAGTTGTGTTGGGGTAAACTCAACGAAGTGTGTTAAATGCAAGGGATTGAAGCGACGCATTGAGGGCACAAATGATTGTTCCAGACGCGAAGGATTGAAGACGATTCAAGGAGTATTTATCAAAAAGTTAGTTCATTTCTCTCTGATTTAGGGTTTACGAATCTCATAGGGTAATATCTGGTTATTTTCAGATTTAGGGCTTATATAAATATTTTAGTGTAAACTCTAATTATTTAGATAATATGATTAGGTATCATGGATGAATACATAAATCTCAAAATTCATCATAGTGGTGAATTCAATGATGAAGGTCTTAGTGTATATGAGAATGGAGTAGTAGATGATTTGAGAGTAGATGTAGACAAATGGAGTTATTTTGAGTTAGTTGGTGTACTGAAAGACTTGGGTTATAGGGAGTTTGAAACAATATATTACAAGGACCCTTAATTTGGGATGAATGCACTTGGTGATGATAATGGTGCTTTAAAAATTGCAGATCTTTATAAGGTACACATAAGTGTTGATATTTATATTCAGCACGCCTTGTCTCAACCTAACTACTTGGATGTTATTGTTGATAATGTTGATGAGTGCCCTGCTGAAATTGTAGATGAGGTGGAGGAGTTACCTAGTCAACTGCATGATGAAGTTGTTGGAGTTGAAAAAACTGTTGTTGTGATGAAGGAAGGTGATGTTGTAGTTGATCAAGCCACTGCTGGGTTGGAGGAATGTAATGTTGGATTTGATTAAGTTAATTCTGCAGTGGATGAACGTACTGTTAGAGTTAATGAAATTAATGTTGGAGTTGAACAAGTTAAACCTGCAGGGGAGGAATGTAATGTTGGATTTGAACAAGGTAAAGTTGATGTAAATAATGATGAATTAAGTTCTTATGATAGTGAAGATGAGGACTACAATTATGATAGTGCACAAGAAGCGGCTATTAAGGATGAGTCTGATGGGTATGATGAGATTGAGGAGGATGAACTTGATACCCTAATTGGGTATGAAAATGATGGTAATGGAAAAGTCCAAGAACTTAATGAAAAGTCTGTAGAAGATAAAGGGAGTGACAATGACAGTGAAGACATGCAAAGTGGTTGTGGCAGTGATGATAGTAGTGGAGTTCTAAGAAAAAAGCATCTAATTTTCAGACAGCCAAAAGACATGTCAGATTACAAATGGGATGTGAGAATGTATTTTAGTTTAAAGGGTGATTTTAAAGAAGCAATAACATCTTATGCTGTTCAAAGTGGTAGAGACCTAAGGTTTGTAAAAAAAGACAAAGTTAGGGTAAAGGTTAGATGTAAAGTCGGTTGTGAGTGGGGGGCTTATTATAGCAAGTTGTCAAATAAAGATACTTGACAACTTAGGAAAGTAATTGACAAACACAATTGTAGTAGATAATATAATGTGAAGCTGATGAGTACAAAGTAGTTGAGTAAAAGAATTCAGAATAGCCTGAAAAACAATCCAAGGTTAACCATAAAGGACATCAAGGAGAAGGCACAAAAAAAGTGGAATGTTGGGGTCAACAAAACCAAAGCTATAAGAGCAAGATTTGCAGCTAGAGATTATGTTGGTGGTTCTTTTTTGGGAGATTACACAAGTGTCTATGACTATTATCATGAACTATTAAGATCCAATCCAGGGTCAACTGTTAAGATCAATGTTGATCATGTACAAGAAGGTGTTGAAGATCAAAGACCATATTTTAGAAGGCTTTACATATGCTATGTTGCGTGTAAGGAAAGTTTTAAATTGTGCATGCATGTAATAGATCTAAATGGGTGCTTTCTCAAGGGGTTGTGTGGAGGGCAGATTCAGGCTTCCATAGGGAGGTATCCTAATGACCAGATGCTTCCCATAATATATGCAGTTGTGGAGAGTGAAAACAAGGATAGCTGATGTCACAAGGGCAAACCTCTAATCACTATGTTGGAAGACATCAGAATATACATGATGGAGAGATGGGCAAATAACAGAATGAGATTTGGTACTTTAGATGAGAATGATATATTGCCCAATATTAGAAATAAAGTTGATGTCACAAGCACATACACCAAAAACTGGCTAGTAAGGTATGTAATATCAGCATACATTAATTCTTTAGGATGCCTATAACATACAATCCAAACATGTGACTTATATATTCTGTTTGTTTAATTCTTTAGGATGTCTGATGAACATATATTTGAAGTAAGACACTTGGAAAATCATGCTGATAAATTTGTTGTGAACCTAAAAGATCATATATGATCATGCAGAAGATGGGAACTCACGGGACTCCCATGTGTTCACGCTTTGTCTTCTATGAAGAGTAGGAATTTCAAAATTGATAGTTACATTCCAAAGTATGATAGGGTTTCAAGGTACAAGGAATATTATAAGCATGCGATATACCCTGTTAATGGATCAAACTTGTGGGTTAAGACACCATATCCAGATGTGCAACCACCCAAGTTCAGGAAGATGCTTGGTAGACCTAAAAAGAGGAGGAATCTAGAACAAGGAGAAATTGATGGGTCTGATTGCAAAATGAGAAGAACAAGTTTCATGGTAAAGTGTAGTAGGTGTGAGAAAGTAGGACACAACAAGTCTACTTATAAGGACACAACAACACAGACTGATCAATAATCAGCCCAACCCTGTCATGCTCAAACTCAGACTACTCAACAATCAACCCAACACACTCAGACTCTAACTCAGTCTACTCAACAACCATGCCAACTTTCTCAGAACACAACAACACACACTGCTAAGGGAAATACTACTCCACAATCTAGTCAAGTATCTCAGACTCCTAAGGCAAAGGCTGCTTAGAAGACACATGGACCTGCTAAGGGAAAGACACAAAAGCTGCCTGTTAGGAAGCCAACAAGACCTTTTGTACCACCTGGGCCTACAACTAGGTTGAGTACTGTCAAGAATATTGTTGGCCCGGTAACAAGGAGTTCTACTCCAACAAAGAGGACCACGCCAAAGAAGAACCTCTAGATATAATTAGGATATCATGTCATGAGGATTTGTTATGAAATGGAACATGTGTATAATTAGTTTATGTATTTTGCTATTGTTTGGAATCACTTTATGTATTTTGTTGTTGTTTGGAATCACTTTAGATATAATTAGGCTATCATGTCATCTGGAACCAGTTTATGTATTTTCCTGTTGTTTGGAATCACTTTATGTATTTTGTGGAACATGTGTACCAGTTTATGGACCTGTTATGAAATGGAACCACTTTATGTACCTTATGTTAAAATCAGAACCTGTCATTATTTTGTGTTAAAAATCATAACTTATAGGTCATTGTGTGTTATAAAAACACTTTTTTGTTTGGAACCCATTGTGTGTTAAAATTAACAGAATCTTTAACATACCAAATACTACAAAAGTAATATTTACAAAAGTAACAAAATCTTTGACATGTCATGCTCAAAATTACAGACCGTTCTCTTAACAGACCAAGTATTGCAAAATTAATATTGCATTCATGTTAAACTGTATTCGTGCTCAAAATTGACATGTCATGCTCAAAATTACAGACCATTCTCTTAACGGACCAAATATTGTAAAATTAATATTTAACAGAAGTTATACATGTTAAACTATTGCATTCATGTTAAACTGATACATCCAACTATTACATTCATGTTAAACTGACACAACCCAAAGGTTACAATCTTTAACAGAACTTAAAGCTAATTCTTACAAATAAAAATTAAGATAATTCTTACAAACAAACCATAACATACTACTTCCAAACAAACCTTAATACCCTAACTCATTCTAACAACTAATATAGTGATAATCATCACAAACATCAAATTCAAAGTATTTTTCCACTTCATGATATTCTTCATTTCACTTTCAAGTTTCATCAACTTTTTCCCTAATTCTTCATTCTCCATTGTCACTTTTTCAATGTCTTTTTTTGCTTCAGCAAGTCCCTTAGTTACCACACCCAGCTTATGCATCTAGAATTGCTCCTTCTCATCACCCACCTCCTCATAAAACCAACCAAAGAAACCACACCAGCTTGCATACCTCCCTGAAACTTTCATTGTTTAGAGGTTACCTGCAAATTGAAACTTAAACAAAACTTATTAACAAATTCAAAAACCTTGCATACCTTATAATTTGGACAATCCCAGAAAAGTTTTCCCATATTCTTAATAGTAGTTGACCTTTGAAGAACAACCGTGTCTCCACAATGGCATATGGGCTTCCATTGTGACCTACTAAAAACATCTGAATCTCCATTTTCTAGTTTCAACATGGAGGACGAACAACCATATTTCATACTTGCCAAAAACAAAAACTCTAGGTTTGATTTTGGGATTTGGGATTGAGAGGAAGAAGAAC